AAAATTTTTACCAAACACATTCCGGCCGTACAACAACTATATTTTTTTACACAAAATTAGCTCTTTTTTTCTTATTTCATCTTTTTACCACCGAATATGTTTTCGTAAATAAAAACAAAATATGTCGCAAGGTGCAGCATGAAAAGCCGTACAATCTGTATAGGTAATAAAAACGTGAAACAAGAACAAAAAAATTTCTCGTTCGTGTTATTTTTTCGCAGCGTCGAAATTTGATCGCTCAAAACTTTGCCATTTTCAGAGCAAAATGTGCAATTATCAAAAAAGCAGTCTTATGTAAATCGTAGAGCTTTGCACGCTGCATCTTGGGATATCTTTTGTTTTTTTAATACAACTTATTAAAGGATTGAAATTGATACACAAAACGCGACCATGTAACCTGCCTGACTGATACAAAAGAAATGATAGACTACAACAAAGCACAAGACTTAGAAGTCTGAAATTTTGCACCAAATCCTAAATATCTCTGGGCATTATGGCGGTATAGTTAGTTCTTGGTCAAGTCCTTTAAGAGAGCCGGGCGAAAAAACTTTTGTAGTGCCCTATGTAATAAAAAAACTGACATAGTACTGGAGGAAACAGTCTACATATAAAGTGATATACGTTTTAAATACGATTGCCCTTTACAGTGAACATCAACGACTGTCGTGAATGACTATCGTATATAATCATAACTTAGGTGTGGGTTACTATGCTCATCTTCATCAAATTGAAGATAACTTTAAAACTGCTACAAGCATTTCAACTAATCTCAGCAATATTCAGACCAGAGTAGTTCTCTGTGTTTTCTAGTTTTCTACAGCAAACGCCTCTCGCACAAAATAGACAATACAAATAATATAATTGGTGCATTTAGAGTTCAATGGTACCTACTGCTAGTGTTCTTTCTCATCGCATAAAATAATTACTTGAATTTAGGTCTCTCTCGGCTAGTGATCTTGATGATGAAGATTACGGCACCATTGTTGAGGTTCAATATTTACGATATATGTGAAAAGATTTCAACGTATAACTTTTTAGTTTCTCAGATACTTTCGAGTACTTCCATATTCTTATACTTATATTACCAAATTCAAGGATCAACACAATCGCAAAGATGATATAATAAAATAATGTTTCTTTGTATCTATATATGTCGACTGAAATTCCATGATTTTCAGCTTGTCATTCAGTCTATAAGAACCACTAAACGAAGAGTATTTGAACACAAAATGAGAGAACTCTATCTAGTTGTTTCAGAAACCTATTAGAATGAGCTAAGCTACGTTTGAGCCGATTCGATAAAGATACTAGAGCAGAAGTGAAATTTTAATTGAAAGTTGATCATGACTTGGATTTTATTAGATAAGATGGTTGAATTTTTCATCTTAAAATCTATCTCTAATTAAAATTTCAAAATTCTCTCACATACCTTTGAGGAGATATCGTGAAAGTATTTCACATGACTCATTGACAAAAAATGTATGAAAATAATAAAAAGCTATTTGACGTGATATTATTTGAAATCTGAAACTATCGATGGAGTAATTATATTGGAAATCCAGTGTGACTCTCTCGTGCAGAGACTCATAAGAGATTTATTATGATGCCATCAGATATAGATTTAATTTTGAGCAAAACGATGAAGGTGTTAAATTGAAAAGTGCAAAGATTCAGGTTATTTCGAATAAAAAAAAACTTACAATAGCATGATCTATCACGAAAGGACTTTTGTGGAGCTTTTATCTTTTTTTTTTGCAGAACTATTTCTACCAAATATTTGTTCTGAAACTCTGCGACACGCGTCACAAATTGAAGAATGCTACAAAGAATATCATGAAAAAGCTGACCGATCAATGAATCTGTTGTTATAAAAAGTTTCCTAATGTTTTGTCTCAGTTGAATGATTCAGTAGACTTGAATCTTTTGAATCTGGCACCACCAAAACAACTTATCTGAAAAATAAAGTCGACAACTTTGGAGAGCTCAAAAGTCTTTATCTTTCAGTCTATGAAGAAATCTTTCTAACACATAGGCAGTAAGAGAAAACTGCATCAAGATTTAGTGCTATTTTTGCTGGGACATCCTTTATTAATTTCTCTAGATATCATAATTGATGTGAATCTGAATATGAAAAAAATAGTATTTGTATTCTTTCGAATATATTACTTACCTTTCATATCATGATTAATATGAAACTCGACACATGTTGTAGCTTAATAATCATAAGCAATGGGTTCCCAACGGGCATTCTTTTTCTGGAAAGATGCGACTTTTGTTAGAAGAATCCAACTGCATAATAAAGAATGTTTCAATAAAAGAAATATGTTTACGAATACAAAACTCCTATATTTTTACACAGAACCAACTTCAACACAGTGATAAGAATCATTTCTCTCGCGGAAATTGAAAATCAGAAAAAAAGGACTCAAAAGAGAAAACAGATTAATATCTTTTTTTGAAAAAAAAAAGTTATGAAAAAAAAAATCTTTCACTAAAAGAAGAGTGATATGTATAATGAAAAAGTTTAGTTTATTTTCTCGTTGTTGCTTATTTTGTATTTTCACCGTCGTTTTCGAGTAGTAATTCTGCTTTTCTTCACATGGATGCTCACGATCATATAGCTGATATACATTTGTTTTATGAGTAACTTATTGATCAATTAAAATTAGTCAAGATGCCAACACTTGAACCTCATTATCCATCTGATGATTGTTATTTTGTTCCTGTATAACGGATAAAAGAGTGACTGTAGGAGAAAATATTTATCTTATTCACCAAAACACAAGAATTATTTGTTGTCGTTTATTGTTAAAATATATATTCATAGTGAAACAAGTATGAAATTTTCAGTAATGAGTAACCCTAGTCAAAAAAAGCTTCTGATAAAAATTTCAGCTCGATGCATCGAACTAGAACAAACTTCCGGCTTATTTATATTCAATTTATGGTATTCAGGAAAATTTCTATAATTTCGTTAATAACCACTTCTAGAAAGTATTGATAGCAATACTTCACGAGATTAAATCTCACTTTTGTCTTTGGTTAGATCTTGAACTGAATGAGAGGAACTATGTCATCGAAAACGGTTCAGTTTTGACAATTAATCAGTAATTTTGCAATAAATTTCAGAATTCAATTTTTTCAATTAAAAATTATTTTCTGACAAAAAAGAAATAGTAAATAAGTTTAGGCATGAATTTTTTTTTCATTTAAATTTTTTAAGACAATTTTTATTAACTAGATAAGTTTCCTCGATCTATATAGGTTATAAAATCTCATAAATAATGATTAATCAAGGCAGTTTTGATCTTCTAATGAATGAATACAAATAAAATTGGATGACAAAAAGTTTAATCTTGTATATTCTTCAAATTGACAAGAAGCACTGCGTAAAAAAGAATCAAAAGAAACGAAAAAACGAACTTTTCTTTTTTTTCTTCTGTCTATAATAGTCATATATTTATCACAAATTACTTCAATAATTTTTTTTTTGCTCATGCTTTATTTCGTTCCTTGTCTTGGCAGAGAACATAAATGGAAAATACTTGTTGGAATTGATGAACACATTGTACTATTTCTAGAAAATAATCGTCCACTGTCAATTAAGAACTACCAAAATTTAGCATTTTTCTCAGTGTGAGAAAACTATATGCAATATTTTTTCTATTTTCACTTTAATAAATATCGTTATCATTGCTGTTTAGCCATTTGCTTGGATTCTTTGTGTTGAAAACGATTGACGAAGTGGTACGTTTTTCGAAAGTAGTTTATTCTTGATACAACGAAGAAAATAGACTGTGAGACAAATTCATAGTTCTTACTGTAATTAGCCTTGTTTCATTCTTTTTTTTGCTAAAAAATATCAAAAAGGGAAAAATCTTAATGACGTGATTATTCATAATAACGATAGAAGGTGACACAAAGAAAAATTGGCAAAGTTCATTTTGTGATTAACAATTAAAAACATTTTTAATCAAATCAATGTTAGATAATATGGACTGTCCTAGACGTTGTAAAAAGCCAAAATATTTCTCATTCTATCAACAATTCGTATGAGATCAATTTTGATTTGTTGTCAACGTATTTTCATCATCTTTTTCAGTTGAAGCCAAGTTCTCATCCTACGATTGTGTTACGGTTATATGAATTTCGGGTCACTCTTTAAATGATTTCATTGATATCCCTTCTTCCCCAAATAAATAATCTAGTTTATTTTAATTAGCTACCAGATATCGTAGTGCTGAGTAGGACGACATAATGCTCGACGAACTAAATATACTCATGAAAAACAACACCTACACCCTGATGCCATCTTATTGAGTATTATAATGTCTTGCTCAGTACTACGATATCTATTAAATAATTAAAATAAACTAGATTACTTATGGAGGAAGAGAAAATCGATGAGATCATTGAAATATAAGCCGAAATTCCGTTCTCCCAGTATACAAACATACAGAACGCAAAAAAACTAATAATTCAATAAAATGACTCACTACAAGCAAAACGATGAAATAAGGGAAAAAAAACGTGGTATATAGACTTGTTTTATCGACTATTTGCGTCAATCTAAAAAACCTAATTACCTGTTATTGTTGTTATTCATCACGTTTGTATCCTTTTTTTGTGTTAGTCTATATTGACGTTATTTCATTAGATATGCAGATAGAAAAGTATTTGACCATTGAAGCAAACAAAAAAAAACAGAAACGAGAATGGTTTGTCAGTATAATATATACATATGTATGTATTTATATATATGGATACCGAAAATCATTGATGCAAATCTGCTACAATAAAAAAGAACGAAAAAGAAAAAGGCATTCGTTATTCTTTTCATTGTTTATTTATATAAATACATCGATCGACAAACTTGAACAATATTCACTAAAATAGCCGACCATTTGGTGTAGCTATCATATTTAGTTCTATGACATTCAATAGTATCTCAATAAATATAGTGTCTCTTCTAGATGCTTGCGTCAACGACGCAAGATATCATGAATAATGCCAATGATAATATTCAGAAAGAATTATCATCCCTTGAAATACCTCTTAATCCATTATCAACAGTAAATCCAAATGAGTTTTATAACATTATTGAACAACAATATGGTGGGATTTGGGGAACATTTAAATTTGAAGATTCTCTTGGTGATTATTCTGGTGAGGTAAATTTTATTTATAGATTGAACATAAATATATATATATATGAAGTAAACATTTTCTTTTTGAAGTTTTTTTTCAAAAAAAAATATAGTTTACTTATTTATTTTATTGATAATTGATTTGATTTTTCTAGGGTCGATCATTTCTTTATATTAATGGTAATATTGATTTAACTGTTCTAAGACAATTCATGGCCAATGAATGGAAATTAGAAGCACCAAATTTAGTTATATCTATTCTAAGTGCAATTTCTCGTTTTAAACTATTTAAAAATCTTCAAACGATTGAAGCATTAAAAACTGGCATAAGAAATGTAAGTGAATTATTTATATACGTATATATTTTATCTCTCAAGCAATTGACTGTCAAGAATAAATCTAAAAATTATTTTTGAAAAAAAATTAACAGCCATATTTTTTTTTACAATCTAACCTTAAAAATTTATAAGTATCACAAAAAGAAGTTTAAAAGTATTCTTCAGCTGATTACGTATTTTTTTTTTAAGTTTATGATACTTATAACTTGTTAAGGTAAGATCATAGGAATATAAGATAGCCGATCATTTTTCAAGATTTTGTTCTTATAGTGCATCTATGAAATTTTTGTATGGTATGTATTTAGTAGAGAGTATCTTTGGCTATTCAAACTATTGTAGAAAATAAAAAACGAAAAATACGTTGGTATTCTAGTTTTTAATCTGTGTTGTAAAATGAACATTACAAAACTGTTTTATTAAAAAGTCATACGAATTGTTTGATGTTTTAGTTTTTTTCATTTTCAAATTTTTAACTTTATATTTAACTTCAAGTTAAAAGTTGTGTATCTGAAAAATTATTACTTATAATTTATTGATATTAATTAGAGAGAGTTTTCGAGAATCTTTGTTTCACATATTACAAACGCAAAAAAATAATCTAACAGCATTATTATTCAATAATGTTATATGAATAGATAACAGTTATGTTAAAGTTGAAAATATTAATTAATTTCTAAAGATGAAAAATAAAACCAGTCGCATTTTTATTAAGTCATTTCTTTGTCTATACTTGATAACGAACAACATCTAAATAAATGAAACCTAAAATTATTTCATAAAACATAAATCTGTTGTACAAGTTTTTTTTGTTTTTGAAAATAATTGTATATATTTCGAAGAAAATACAATTTAAAATATTGATTTATTTAGACTGTAAATGCTACAGAAATATGGTTTATAACAAATGGTCTCGAGCTTGGTATGCCACAATTAATTGGATCTGCTTTTCGAGATGAAATTGTATGAAAATTTTTTGGAAAATTTTAAAAAAATATTTTTTTTTTTGTTTTTGTTTTTTTTATTATTTAAACATAGTCATTCAGACAAGCTGATGATGCATGGGCAATACAGATGGGTCGTGACCCAAAAAAACGTAAAAAATTAGTTTTAATTGGCATTGTTTGCGATGATGAAATTAAACGTTTGATTGATTTCAAACCAGCACAAGAAAAACCAAAAAAGGTTTAAGAAAATTTTATTTTATCGTTCTATTTTAATTTTCAATAGGATGTAAAAGTACCAACGCGTAAACGTGATCAAATATCATTAAATAGTGATCATACACATTTTATTATAATTCGTGAACAACCAATTGATTCTAATTCAATAAATGATTCAGTAAAAAAAAATATTACCATTGATACTGGTGGAAAACAGTTAGAAAAAATAACTGATTCAGCTGACAGTGTTACAAATAAATTTCGTGATCGTTTTGAAAATTTTTTATATGAAGAAAAATCACAAGAACAAACCACATCTCCTGTTGAATCACCATCACCACCACCACCACCATCACCACCAGTAACAACTGGTAAAAATAAAGTTTATATAGAAAAAAAAAACAAATTCATTGATTTCATGCAGATGCTGCAGCAGTAACACCGGATAAATCTAAATCATGGGGTGACAATGGTTTTCCAATGGTATGTACATTAGCTCGTGGTACACCAGGAACTATTGAACGTGCATATCGAAAAATTCAAAATGAAATTCCTATCATAGCAGTTAAAGGAACTGGATCAGCTACTGATCTTATTGCATTTGCTTATGAAGAAATTTGTGCTAAGTAAAAAAACAACAAAAGATTGATTTCAGAAAAGAAAATTTTATTTTAAATCTTGTTTAGAATTGAACAAGAATATGAAGATAGTCAGTTCAAAGTTGAATTAGCTCGACGTCTACTCGATGATTATCCTTTATTAAGATATAATAATGTTAAACGAAATGAAATTCGTGATTGTATTATTTCAATTGTATCAATTGTTAAAAAAAATGAGCAAAAAAACAGAAAATTTTTAACATTTATTGATATTAATAGTGCAACAGCATCATTAAATGATTTTCATAAATTTATTCTTTTAGCACTTTTACAATGTATGATACATATTACTTATTCTCTTTTATTTTTATTTTTATTTTTAATTTAGCACAAAAACCAATAACTGGCGGTAAACTTCTTGCTCAATTAAAACGAAATCTTTTTTTAACACTTGATTGGAATACGCCAGATTTAGCTTTATCAGAAATTTTTCAACGTGATGATAATATGAAATATACTATTCAACCAGAATTATTTGATAAAGCTATACTTGGAAAAAAACTTGAACCTTTTGTTGATTTATTTCTTGATCGAGATTTTATTTTACATCGATATTTAAAATCAGACAAATTAATTTATTTATTCAATAATGCAAAAGATAAAGAATTTTTCACAACAATATCAATTGAAGGAATTCTTGGACTGACAGGAGTAAGCACGAGAATAAGTTCTTATTTTTCTTTTTATTTACGTTTTGTTAAATAGGATGAAAGTGTACTGAACAAAGCATTTGTTGAAAAGGGTCTTAATAATATAGTTAAACAATTAACGGATATTAGTCAGTTTTTTAATGAACATGAAATGGATTGTAATGCAATGGGAATTTATTTTGGTACTAAATCAGAAAATGGTGTTCGACGACAAAGAAGGCGAGCTGAAAAAAAAGTAAAATTTTCGTGTTTCTTTTGTTTAATGTTTTCAAAGAATTTTGTTTAAAATAGGCTCTTCGAAATTTAGTTATTTATGCTGTATTAATGAATCGACATCAATTAGCAAAAATTCTTTGGAAACGTTCATTTGAACCAATTCCATTAGCATTAATTTGTTATATGATGTATTCAAACTTAGCACCATATTGTTATGAAACTTATCAAAAAACATTAATGGAAAAACAAGCAACGTAAATTTTGAAGAAAATTTTTTTTTGTTTTAAATGAAACTTCTTTTTTTTTTCTTTTTGTATTTATTTTAGAGAATTTTCCGAGTGTGCTTTAGGTGTTCTTGAGAAAGCATTCAATGAAGATAGTACGAGAACATTTGAAATGCTTAATGAAACACATCCGGTAAGAATTTGTCAAAAAAAAAAAAAGATTCATAAGAGATAAAATATTTTTTCAATCAAGGATTGGAGTCATATGGCAACTATTGAATTAGCTTATAATGCAGACAATAAAGATTTTATGGCACATGCTGCTTGTCAAAAATGGGTTACAAGACAATTTTATGGAGAAATTACACCTCGTGAACTTTCATGGGGATTATTTAAATGTCCTGATTCTATTAAAGTAAATAAAATATTTGATTAATATATTATGAATATTTATTCTTTATTGAATAGATTATATCTAGTGCTATTTTGATATTTCCAATGTTGTTTTGGATAAATTTTTCACCAATCGGTCAAGCACCTTCGACACCGAAAAAACCAAGTGATTTACCATCTGATACAAAAAAAGGTTCAGAACCTGTACCAAATATTGATAGTTAGTTATGCTGATAAAATATTTTTAAAATTTAAATCATAAACTAAAATTGAATTTAGAAGCTAAACAATTAGCTGAACATGTTGGTGAAGTTAACATTCGAGAAGGAGTATGTATTTTATTAATACACTTATTATTATATTCTATATATCCATATCGATGAACAAACTTTGATTTGTTCACATTAATGTGTCAAAGTTATAATAGATCAATAGACTAAGTATCCAATATTTTTCAAGAATTGTAGGCTCAAGTATTTGTTTCTCATTCCGTCAGATTGATAGACTTGTACAACATATCGAAATTTTTATACAATCGTTCTTGAGAAAATATTTAACTTAATATGATTAAATGTTAGGTTCTACATTGCCAATGATTTGACATAGTACTACGTTCTGATAAGTTAAGAAGAGTTTTACCAAAAACTCGAATTAAATAAACTAAAATTACTGAAAATTGTCTTCGCCTTTCATGGTTAAGCTTGAATGTCTAAGATAGTAGTAGTTTGATATAGATTACATCAGTAAAGCTTACTTAAAAAATGAATAAGCCCAACAGATGTCATACGTATAATTGTATAATAACGAAGTATACTCGATACATATGATAGACGATGTATCATCAAGCTCTTTTAAGATTTACTGAATTTATTTAAGTTCTTGGATATATCTTTCGTAGATTAGGTTTATTTTTAATTTTCTTCTATAATAATCTCACAAAAGGATTTAGTTCTTTGGTTGAATCTGTCACACGCTATGATGGACAAGAGTCAGAGATGTCCATGGCGGCGCGGCAGCGGCAGGTTTCTTAAAAACTCATCGCGGCAGCGGCAGAGTTTTTAAAAGCTCATTGCGGCAGCGGCAGCATTTTTTTTCGAGGACATTGAAAAACTGCATGAATTTAATAGAATTTCATTGTTTACAAATGAAACACCCCGAGACTGAATGAATCTGATGGACTAGTACCAATATTTCTGGTCCAATACAGTTGCAGCAGTGAAAATCGAAACATTTTTTTGAAAACCATCGCGGCAGCGGCAAGTTTATTGCTCATCGCGGCGCGGTGACTTTTTTTTATAAACCATCGCGGCGCGGTAACTTTTTTTTCTAATGCCGCGGCGCGGCAGCGGCAGAATTTCAGCCGCGATAGACATCTCTGACAAGAGCATTATAAAAGTATCTTTCACACTTCTATCTTAGCATCTTTTTTCAGCATGTGTTTTATAAATACATATATATTTTGATGATAATATCATGAATTAGTTAATAATTATTATATATTTAAGTGATCAATATAATTTCGATACGACCTATATATGAATGTATTTAGAATGGATTTTTACAACGAATAAGACGTTGTTTTCGTGGTAATAATTCAGGAACACAAAAAACTACATCAGATGTGTCGAAGCCTGATGAAAAAAAACTGGGTTTTTTTGAAAAAATTCATGTTTTATGGTCAGCACCAATAACGAAATTTTATACCAACTTCGTTGCCTATCTTGCATTTTTATTTTTTTTTACATTGGCTGTAATGTGGCCATCATGTGGAAATTTATTCCTTGATTGTTTTGTTTGGTTTTGGGCAACATCGATTACTTTTGAAAATACACGAGTTTCTTATGAAAAATATTGTGTAAGATTATTTAACGAAGACAAAATTAAAAAGATTTAATGACTTAAAATTTTAGTCTCAAAGTAATCTACCTTTGCAAAAAGCAGTAATTGAAATTATTGTACAAATTATATTCCTAGCTCTTTATCTTTGTGTTAGAATTATTGGTTTATGGCGTTTTGGAAGTAAGTCAAAGACTTGAGAGAGAGCGAAATAGTTGAAATAATTGATTTTTTTTTCTTGTTCTTTTTAAATAGCTTGTCATATTCTATCAGCAAAATCAATCTTAGGCTTCGGATTAATTTATTATTATTATCGAATATTATTTACATTCTTACCAGTAAGTCCAAAACTTGGTCCAATGATGATTCGACTTCAACGTATGGTAATTTCTTTATTAATTCTTTAATCTATTTTGTCTGAAAGAATATAATAATTACAGGTAATCAATGATTTTCTTACATTTTTACAATTATTTGCAATATTTATGATATCATCTTCTGTTGCAATAACAAGTGTACTTTATCCACATTATCCACTGAGTCTAGATTTATTTTCAAGAGTTTTTGTTTTTCGTGGTTTAATGGCATTATTTACTACTGATGCGAGTGATTTAAAAAATCAAGATCATTCATGTTCAATAAATAGAACAGGTTTAACAGAAAAAGAAAATGTTTGTTTACGATTATCAAATGGTCTTTCATTTAATTGTAAGAATATTTTATTTTTCTTTTTAAATTAAGAAAAAAACTTTTCTTTTTTTTTCTTCTTCAAGATGATAATATTGATTCATATCAACGATATGGAATAGAAACACCAAAATGCAATCAAATATCATGGATAGCATGGCTTTTACTTATACAATATTTCTTTTTATCAAAACGTTTTCTTACAAGTCTTTTAACAGCTATGTTTAGGTATATTAATTAAAATAATATTGATTGAATTCAGATATCTGAAATTTTCTTTTTTTTTTTTTCATTAAATTAGTATAACCGGAGCAAGAGTACAAAAACAATCTGAACAAATCTGGATGTTTAATCGATATGAAATTGTTATGGAATATGCTAAACGACCACGTTTACCACCACCATTTGTTTTTATTTCTTATATTGGTAATACAATTTTTATATAGATTTTCAAAGAAAGAAAAATGAAATTTTCATTGGACGATATTTAAAAAAAAAGTTGTTTTTTAGTTCTACACTAAACTTTTATAGTCAAAAACAGTATAAATGATGATATATCTCTTGTAGTGTTATCAATTTGAAAAATTGTCATGTTTCTTAGTTTATCTCATCGAAGGCTTAAGAGAGAAACTTCTCATACATTTTTTTTTCAATTTCAAAGATTCTTTTTGTCTATCGATACTACATAGTTTTCTTATAAAAACACCAAAAAGGATTTAGTTATGTAATATCTATGGATGAAAAAAAACCTATTCATTTCAAGATACTCATAAAGATTATTGATACATTCTTATAAATTATTCTCTAAACCATTTACATTATGGATTAAATGTTATCTTTATGCGTAATGTAAAATCTGTTATAACTAATAAAAAAAAAAGGTCTTTAACTAAAACATGTTTTTCAACAGAAATTTAAAATTTATATATTTTATTTTTTTTTTCTTTTTATAATAGTTATGTTGATAATACGTTGTAGTCATCTTTGCATTGTAAAACTCAAAGAGTATTCTGATAAAAAGAATTCTGCTACATGTCGAATTCGTACACAATCATCAACAACAAGTATTCATATTTTTATTCTAACAATAAATATAATTTATTATTTGATTTATTTCAGCAACAGATAATCATGATGAACATACAGATGGTACTAACAATCCATCAACTGAAATAATCCAAGATCGTTCATTGATTGGACGTTGCCTTAATTGTAAACCATGTAAAACAATTACAGAAAATCAAAACAAGAAAAATGTATGTAGAATAAGTTTTTTTTTTATATTTGATAATTGAATTTAATTTATTCTAGAATATGAAGAATCTTGATACACAAGATAGTGACGCTAATATATATTGGAAATATAAAGCTAAAGAATTTTATGATAAAACACAAGAAGGTGATCAAGTACAAGTAAATCTTGATAATTTATCAAATTAGTAAAAAAATAAAAATTCATTATTTCTTTATTTTATTAAAAGTTTATATAATTAATTTTAGTGTAATAAATATACAAAAAGATTCGGATGTACAACGAATATCATTACGACAAATCAATGATCGTGCTGGTTCATTAGATAGATTAATGATTGATACACATATATTAATTGAAAAAATTCGTTCAAAAATTCAACGAGAAGATAAATCATTACCTGAACTTGATAAATTTGCTCATATTTTATCAAGAGAATCACCATATATTTATACAAATGAACCACGATTTCCAGTTACAGAAAGATATATTTCTTGGAAGGTTGTTTTTATTTGAGATAAACTAAAAAAAAAAACGAAAATTAAAATTTTTAGATACAATTTTACTCATATGATCCAACCATAATTTCATTACCAAAAGAACATGTTTGTTTTAAAGATAGTGAACGACCTTTCGTTGAACCGGATTTGTAAATTTGATTTTATTTACTATTAAATAAATAAATAAATATGAAGATTATTTTAGATTAAAAACAACTTCTGATGATGATGATCATGTTACTCTTACTGATGAGTATGAAAATGAATCACCAGTTATTGCTGATACAGATGCTACATCATCAGTACCTATAACTCAACCGGACTTATATGAAGCTATTGAAACACCAGCAACAACAGTAACAAATGATATTATTATTCCATTTACAGACTTCAAATGGAATCAAATAGTTGAATTACAATTATCCAATGGAAACAAAGTTTTTGTTTTTAGTTTTGTTTTCATATGAAAATCATTGAATTAATATTTTCAGATCATTATGGATCGAACAACTTGGATAAAAAGTCCTGAAGATAATACATCTCCAACTTATCCATTAGATCCTCAATTATCAATACCTTTGTATATAAATAAATAAGAAATTCTATATATTTTGAATAAGAATTTTTTTTTATGAATATAGAAATCCAATGGGTCGTACAGGTGTACGTGGTCGTGGTGCATTAATTCGATGGGGACCAAATAAATCTATTATGGCTGTAATAACACGATGGAAAATGCATCATGGTGAAATTGCTCTTATTGATGGACAAAGAATTTTACAAGCTTTAGTATTTAAACATAAATCGACCAATGATTGGAAATTACCTGGAGTATATTTTGTTTTTCTAGTTTTAATTTTCAAAAAAAAAGATTTATAATTTTTTTTTTTTGATTTTTAGGGAAAAATTTTAGGTGTTGAATCTCCATATAATGCTATATGTCGTAGTTTTAATAAACTTGCTTTTAAAGATTATAATTCTGAACAAAGTTTATCAGTACAAGAAAAAGATATGATTGAAGTAATATTTTCTAAATTGATTTCTTTAATATACAATTAGAATTCATTTATATTTAGTATTTTCAATCATTTGCTCGTTTGTCGTTAAGTACTACTGAACCAACTGGATTTACATCTTCTATGATTTATCGAGGTTAATCGAAGCATATATATTATTTTTTTTTAAATTGTTTTAATTTAATACATTATTATTATTATTTTAGGATATATTGATGATTTGCGTAATACAGATAATGCTTGGGCAGAAGCAGAAATATGGAATTTTCATTATGATTCAGACATATCATTGCCTAATTTGCGTACAGATGTATATTTATTATTTATAAATTTTAAAAAGAAAATGATTATTTTTAAAATGTATTTATTTAGGGTATGGCAATATGGAAAGATATAACGAATAATTCTCGAGGTATTCTTATTCAAACATCAATTCTACGCGAAATAGCTCGAATTCGTAATGCGTATTTTGAGTAAATAATCATCATAATGCATTTCATGTGATATCGTAAAGGCCATTCATTTATTCCATAAAACTATATGACTATAATCTTTTTCTCTCTCTCTCTCTTTCTTTATGTTTATCATAATGTTGTTCAATTTTTTTTATTCCATTTTCTTTTTTTATCAGTAGAATAAACGGTTATTACAAAATCACGTTATGATCAATTTGGATTCACTCTTGTAAGTGAAATCTTCGAGATTCTCTCGCATCTCTTATCGCATGATATAACATATAATTTCTTTTCATTTGAACATAAATTTTTTGTAAGTAGAATGGTCAAAACGTTAAGTACAAAATGCTTTTTTTAAAAAGTCTTATTCTGAAATATTGTTAAACTGTCTTGGAAACTGTACGAACAATTGGTTTTACATTTGTTGATTTACATACGCCGTTCTAATTGCTAGTTAATTGTGGTTCTTTTGCTTCATTTTTTTTTTGTTAATCTCAGTACAGAAATATTTTCAATTTATTAGAAAAAAGTTAGATTTCAGTGCAAAAATGTGTCTTCTTAATTTTTTGAGCATGCTAACGCCATCTGTATCAACTACATCGACTCTTGTTGCTTGGATATGGGTGTAGGGTGTCCGAATATGAGTCTTTCCATTATACAGAGCAACATCTACCCACACCCTCGAATCATGTATTACATGTTTCCTGATTATGTTGTTTGATATCTTTTTAATCGATTTTCTAAGTGTTAGAAACGTGATTTCTTATCAAAAAAGAAAACATCGAAAGGAAATTTTACAGTAATCGCTAGAAAAATCACTTAAAGCTTTGACTAGAATACCTATAACTTCTGAATCGTGTTGATTTTTGTCGATCTTTCATTAGCTGTTTCAATAGACACTCGACACTTGAAAATTCTCTGTAGACACTTCACGGATAAGTTTGTTTTCAAAGAGGTCGGTTGAAAACATTAAAAACAGTCATGTCAAAAAAAAACTGTAAAATAAGATTCGATGTATTTTCATATTCTCTTTCGAATAATGAAAATCACAGCTATCTATCTTGTTTCTATCAAAAGCTATTCAAAAAATATCAACTAAATAGGTATTAGTATAACCGACACAGATAATATTAAAGCTTACTTTACGATACTCAAATGTCACTGATTTACCATAAGTACTTGAAAAAAAGACATTAGTCTCTATGTGAAATGTATCTTATCGTGTTAGATCGTATATCATAAATGAAGGACAACATAAAAGTATCAAAAATGTACAATATCTACTGCATCTATAATTAACATTTTATATGATTAAAAAATTATTTATTTATTTACTACATCTGAATTGTTTAGTCAATATTTAATTTAAATAAAACAACTAGCCTATAATCTAATTTCAGTACTTAATTCAATCGTTGTCTTATCTACAACCAATAAAGACGAATATGTTTGTTTCTCAACATGATGAAGATTCTCAGTAACTCTTAACTTTTCGAAAATAGATATTTATTCACAAATTCATACTGTGTATATCATTGTACATTCATTTGAAGTTTATTCATTTTTTAAACAGTATATTATTAAAAAGATAAAAATTTTGATGATAACAATATAGGTTCATGTGTAATCGAATACAATTTTAAGAAAATTTGATGAAAAATCAAAGATCTCTCTGATTTTTTTCTATAATAACAAAATTAAAATTTTAATATGTCCTTGAAAACGACAAAAAAAAAGATAATTATATCCAATTCTGAACAAAAATTTAATTAAATTTTAAGTGTTCGACGAAAAAATGATACAAACCAATGACTATTGGTGTATTTTAGATGAAAGAGTACAAATCTATTTTAGAATAGGATTTCTTTCATGTATTAAAATAATTCACAATAAATATATGAGTTTTTCTATTTTATCAAGAAAGAAGAATTAACTTTTTTTTGTTTTAGTATAAGTTTTAATTTAGCTTGAAAAATTTTTTCTCTTTATCTTAAATTCATCTGAAATTGCTGATGAAGATTCTGTAAAGATAAAAGTTAACAATGGAAAATGTTATTAATCAAGTTATGAAAAAAACTATTTCACGTATACTTTCGACTGTTAATCTGATATTTTAAACATAATTTTACGATAAACTAAAAGTTTCATTAGTTTTATCAAAATCTCGAAATAATTCTATATATTTAATTGTGATCATCAATTTTTTTTTGTTTTCTAGAATAATGAAAATATCTTACTCGTTATTAGTGTTTTCTTCAGCTCATCAAAAGTTTTTCTCTCTCATGATTCAAATCAAGAATTATTTTCATTTCATCTATTAAAGAAATATTAGACACAAACACTTATCGACAGTAGTGACAGATTATTTTCATCTATTGAGTAGTTAACTATATATTCTTTTTTTCGTAAGGAAAGAAGCACACAAGTTTTTTGCTTGCAAAAGTATACTCTTCAAATCTATATATCATCGACAAGTCATTAATTACAGATAATGATGATGGAACAATCTCCAAAGATGTTGTGCATGCTGATTGTGGCCACAAATCTAAATCACACATGCTATTAACCCTTAAGAGCCGAATGTCCCTTCCAAGGGACATTTAAATAATTGTAATCAAAGTCTTATAAAAATGTTGTAGACAAAAACCAATATTTTTCTGGATTGATATGACTTTCGAGACCATACCTAGACCAAAATGTAGTATTCAGGTGGATGTCAGGCGTAGCAAAACACCTTTTAGGACTGATGACTTTTTTCAATAACACATTTCTTCCCTAAAGTTGTATCTATTCGGAAATGCGACATATAGTGTAGTTTATTTTACGTTACACTCTTAAGCCTATCATCAAGCTATTCAATGTCAGCGTTCTAGAATCTTTTAACCGATCTACTGACAGATTGTGTCGTGATTAATAAAAAATCCCTTCGGTGAGACATTCAGCCTCATAGAAGAATCAAAACAATGTATTTCTAACATGAAACTTGGCTCATACATAGCCCTAGTAGTGTTTAGGAAGTTTCAAAATTTTCAGGAACAACTGTTCTTTCTTTCGCGAGATACAGAATGTTGAAGTTTTTAGCAATTTTTAGCAAAATTTAGCTGATTTTTGGGTTTTGAATATCTCAGCAAGAAAGCATTCGTTCTAAGTGAAAATTTCAGAGCATATTAACCCATTCACCACGATGGGTCCCACCGGTCGGACCCGCCATATTTTAACAAAAAATGACTCGAAAAACACTTCTTTCCCTTTTTCCTCAGGCAGAAGGTTTGGTGTAATGTATCATCTGCTGCTCTCCGCTATTGTTTGAATTATTTATTGTATAGAATGGTGTTTCTCATTGAAACAACCAAGACAATTAAATTTGTCACAATCAGAACAGAAGATTTTTATTTTCTTTGCTGCCGCATGACTCGCTTCTCTTGATTATCGTTGCCTGATTTTTTCGTAGCAGCCGAGCATAACGTCTTCAGACATCTCGAGGATATCCTTCTTTTTCTTCGAGCGTGTGGTTAGTGAGCTTCCGCTTCGTTTGGCCTGTTGAGTTTTGTCTCGGATCGAATTTCAGCTACTCGAATGGCATGCCAAACAGTAAAGATTGGACAAGACTTCCATGAAGTTGGAGAATGGTCACTTCGCTTGCAGCGTAGTTTTCCTTGTATATTAAATAGCTATTAACTATTGCCGTCCCAAAAATTAATTTAAATGCCATCTTTCAGTACCATTTTATTGGCCGCCTGAGGCATGTATGGTATGCCGATAGTTAGTCAGATAAATCACTACCCTGTCTCCTTTTGTTGTAATCTAGTACAACTTGTGGCTTCATTCTGCAGTTTCGTGAAAGTCTTGTCCAATCTTTACTGTTTGACATGCCATTCGAGAAGCTGAAATTCGATCCGAGACAAAACTCAACAGGCCAAACGAAGCGGAAGCTCACTAACCACACGCTCGAAGAAAAAGAAGGATATCCTCGAGATGTCTGAAGACGTTATGCTCGGCTGCTACGAAAAAATCAGGCAACGATAATCAAGAGAAGCGAGTCATGCGGCAGCAAAGAAAATAAAAATCTTCTGTTCTGATTGTGACAAATTTAATTGTCTTGGTTGTTTCAATGAGAAACACCATTCTATGCAATAAATAATTCAAACAATAGCGGAGAGCAGCAGATGATACATTACACCAAACCTTACCATCGTGGTGAATGGGTTAAAATTATTAAATACACAAGTTAATTTACATATTGTGAAATACAATATGCTATTGCTACATTCTATTTAACACTTATTTATTCATATCAATGATGATATAATTAAGAATCACCTCTTGAAACGAAAATAATATATCGAAATATTTTCAAAAAGGAATCTAAATTTGATCATCTATGAAAACATGAATGTCGATTAGTACTTCAATATCTTCGATAGTCATTTGATAATGTTAATGTTCACACACTACTTCAACATAGGTACCATTATATGTAACTATAAAAGATGTTCTTTCAACTCTAAATATCTATTTTGTCACCTTATTCACATTCTCACAGTTAACTCTATTATCGATGTCTAAGGAATTTTATATTTTTATGAATCAACTATATCTTCTGATGATTATGTCATTCCTATACATAGATCGAAGTCGGTTTATTTTTCTGATGACATCATATATCTATTTTCTTTTTATTTATTATGTTATATAGACAGAGACAAAAAAGAAAAAGACATTTATACAGAAAAGAAAACACCGGTATGCTAAAAATTCAAAAAAAAAAAAAAGACATTTTTTCTTTCTCATGAAATAAATTCATTTTCATAAATATGATTATCATCTTGTGGTAAAGCAATCCATTGTAATGTTTCACCACCAAAAACAAATGGAGATTTATTTTCTAAATAATTATTTTCATCTATTTCATTATTTGTTTTTGTTTTTATTGTTCGTAAATTTTTTAATATTTTTGTTATTTGTTTAAATGTAAAAAAACATGATGATGATGTTGTTGTTGATTTTATTCGATTATTAACA